ATGCTGGTTTATTTGAACTGGGATCCCGATAAAGCTCACATGCTGTGATTGATTGAACACGTCAGCTCTCACTGAGTCTGCACATCACCTGATGCAGGAGGGCGCTTCATCGCTGACGTGTACAAACCAGGAAACAGGCTGGTAAAGCCACCCAAATACCTGGCAACAAAGCCAAGCACGAGCTTGAAGTGGGTGGAAGACAGAGGACATCTGGGGGAGGTGAGGGCAGGCCTAGCCCCACTCCCCACGGGAGCTGCTGGGTCAGGCCCGCAGCAAACCATGACACCCCCGATTCTCGCCTCAGGTGAACTTGCTCAGCACCTGGCCTTCTCCCTGTGCCCTGGGGACAGGCTCCCCCCTCCACTGTGAAGGCCCCTCCCCGCCGCTGCCCCCCCTAGCCGCTAGACAATCCGGCCAGACTGGCCGGCCCGGGGCTCTCCTTGAAGCCAGTACTCTGGAAACCCCCATCTTCATATCTTTGTTTTACTGCAATGATAACAGTAGTAAATGGGAAAATATCTAAATAAAGGACATTGGTTCTGTTAACCTCAATGATACACACTGACAGTTATTGGGGAGCCTGGGTGGCTCAGTCGGTTGGGAATCCTACTTCGGCTCAGGTCATGATCTCGCGGTGGGTGGGTTTGAGCCCCATGTTGGGCTCTGTGCTGACAGCTCAGAGCCTGGAGCCTGCTCCGGATTCTGTGTCTGCCTTTCTCTCTGCCCCTCCCCAGCTCACGGTCTGTTATCTCTGTCTCTCAAAAATAAATAAATGTTAAAAAAAACAACAACAAAAACCCCACTGATAGTTATTTCTTTTACCAGGAACAGAGGGGTTTACTCAGGAGTAAAGGAGGATTACAACCCGGGACAAACAGGTTGTGGCTAAACCAGGGCAAGTGGGGGGAACAGGGGAGAAAAGGAGAAAGTTGGGAGGGGCCGTTCCAAGGAACAGTGTGTGGAGGAGACTTCCAGTGGCCAGTGTGGTGGCTTCTTGCTGACGGAGCTGCCGGCAGGAGGTGGGGGCAGTGCCCACTGCAGGGGTAGTGGGAGCACGACCACGTGCAAGGTCACATCCAGGTAAGGTCAAGGTCAGCTCTTCCTGGCGGTCTGCAGTCGACCTCGGGCCGCGAGCTCCCCCTGCCTGAACCTCCCCCCCCCACCCCAGTGAGGTTTCCCGTTGCTGACTTTCAGTCACATCCATTCAAGAATGTAGTAACGTCATATTCTGTCCTAATATAAATGGAATAGTCTGTAGTGGGAAGAGATGATTTTGTTAACTTATGATGGAGTTTGGGTCAGCAAACACCCCTCTTCTCATAAGCCTTGGGACCCCCTAGCTCCCCACTGTTGGCAACCAAGTGGAGCCAGGACTGGTTGGCCAGCTGAACCCAAAGAACTTCACTGAAGGACATGCTTCTTCTCAGGCCACGTTCCCGTGGTGAGGGGAGTCAGGGGCTGTCCTCTTCCCTCTGGCCGTGTCTTTCTGCTCCAGATCCTGACCTTCCAGTCTCCCCACCTCTTACTTATACCAAGCCTGTCTAGGTCCCCCCCCACCCCCAAATTCACATGTTGGAACCCTGGTTTTAGGAGGTGGGCCTTGAGAGGTAATTAGGTCATGAGGGTACAGCCTCCTGGATGGGATCAGGGCCCTTGTGAAAGAGCTGCCGTGTGTGGCCCCTTCCACCCTGTGAGACCACAGCAAGAAGTCCGCAACCCTCCACAGCCTCCCAAACCGTGAGAAGTAAGTATCTGTTGTTTATAAGCCTCCAGTGCGTGGATTCACTATAGTTGTCCAAACGGGCTAAGATGCCATCCAATCAGCAACCCACCTCCTCCTGCAAAGGCAGTATGGTTCCTCAAAAATAAAGCATCTTTATTATACAAACTTCCAGGCCCTTGGCAAGCCACAGCACCTAACACTAGTACATCTATTCCTATCAGAAACCAAATCCCGTAGCTCTGATAGATCTCTGCAGCTCAGCAAGGTTGATCACGGAGCCCCAGCAGCAGAGTCCAGAGCTGACCTAGGTCAGAGCTGTGGACTCAGGCAGCAGGGTAAATGGTGGTCATCTGCCCCCCCCCCCCGCCCCATTCACATCCACCTGGAACCTCAGAATGTGACCTTATTTGGAATAAGCGTCTTTGCAGATGTAATTAAGATAAGACATTTCGAGACAAGGTCATCCTGAGTTAGGGTGGGCTTTTAGTTCAATGACTGGGGCCCTTTTAAGAAAGGAGGAGAGGACTGTTGGGGTGGCAGGGAGCGGGGGGGGGGGGAGGGCAGGCAGCCACTGGAGGGACCAGCCACGGGCCCAGACCTGCCTGGACCCTCTCTGTGAGGCAGGAAGCACCCTCCCCTAGAGCCTGTGGGGGAAGCACGGCTGTCGACCTTAGAACTCTGGCCTCTGGAGCTGGGAGAGAAGAAATTTCTGGTGTTTGAAGCCACTCAGTTTGTTGTGGTTTATTATGGCAGTGCCAGGATGGAAAAACACAGGGTGCTATGAACTGAATTGTCTCCCTTGCCTCCCTGAAATTTCTATGTGGCAATCCAAACCGTCAATGTAGTATCTCCAATATCTGGAGATAACAGGGCTTTTAGGAGGTAATAATGTCAAATGGGGTCATGAGGGTAGGGTCCTGTTTTGATGGGATTAGTGGCAAGGGGCAAGGCAGAGATCTCTCTCTTACTGTCTCTCCATAGCACACAAAGAGGCCACATGAGCCAAGAGAGGATGCCTCAGGACGGAGTCTACCTGCCTGCACTTTGACTTGGACTTCGGGTCTCCAGACTGTGAGGAGTAAGTTGCTATTATTCAAGCCTCCAGTGTGGTGTTCCATTGTGTCAGCCTGAGCTGACTGCCACACCAGGTACCCCAAGCCCACGGTGATGTGGAGGGAGCAAAGGAAGGCCCCTGGCTAGCACTAGTGGCTGGAGTGTCAGCAGCCTGACCACATGCTCTCTGGAATGCTGCTGGCAGGCAGCCCCCAAAACACAGGAACCCGAAGGAGTGGTGGCCCCCTGAGCCAGGGCAGAGTCCTGGCCCCAGAGGCCAAGGACAGGTGCAAATAGCACCAAAGTGAACTTTTGAAAAGGTCCACAGGGAGGTTTGGAAGATCTTCCCAGGGGACCTCTCTGAGCTGGAGGTGGAAACTGGAAATAGCTAGATGAGATTCATCTTAGAAAAATGCAAGCTCACATATCTGGGCAAAACTAATCCACATCACAGCATGAGACAGCCGCGGTATAGAGCGGGTGGGAGCATCGGTCCCCAGGGCAGCTGCAAGGGCCCAGGCAAGAGGTCATCTGTGCAGCCTGACTTTTTGAGGGGTGGTCTCGGCATGGGGAAAGTCCCTGAGGCTAGGGACTTAGGGGTCTGGCAACCCCAAGGCACGTTTATTGGAAGTAGAGGGCTGAAGCTTCCATTTCCCAGCGGGTCAGATGGCGACCTGATGGTCCACAGTGTTGCGGAGAGGAGCACCCCACCCAGCAGTGTTGTGGCCTCGCCCACTGGTGCCCAACCTCCACTCAGTGGGCACAGAGGGTTCCCCTCTCTGATCCTCCCTGGGTGTGGGAAGGCCCATGTTCCTCCGTTTTGCAAGTTGCCCCGTGTTTTAAGCATTCAGGTGTGATGGGTCATTAGAAGTTAGAGACACAGGACACAAGAGGAAAGGAAATCGTTCTAGGGGAGAGATGGCTGCTCCCTGAGGAGATGCAGGACCCACATGTGGGGAACGAGGCTCTGACCCCTTACACAGGCCCTGGGAGCTCCTCCTTCCCTGCTGGCCAGAGAAATGGGCACAGGGAAATGAGAAAGGGACCAAAGCCCAGGCCTCCTGGCTGAGGAGTGAGCGTCCCGTGGCCCAGGAGGGCAGGTGGAGGCAGAAAAGGCCTCTCTCAGCCCTGTGCCTAGTGCCCTTGACAGGAGGCCCCAGGGAGAGGAGATCAAGGAGAGGGGCAGGAACAGGTTACACCTGGTCTGTCTCACCTGTTAGTCTGAGCATAGGCTAAACCTGCTTCAACAAAAAGATTCTAACATGTGGCACCTGAAAATAAGAGAGGAGCAGCTCCCTACTGTCAGGATGTCAGCTGTCCCAGCCTGATCTAGACAATCAAAAGAATCCCTATGTTGGAAAAGGCATTGCTGGGTGTGATTTTTGTTTTCATTTTGCTGGATATGGTTGCCAAATTGGCTTCCAAGAAGTCCTTCCTACAAAGTGCCAGTCCCCTCACATCTGACAAGTGCCCAGGTCAGGCAATCCGGTGGGAGTTTACTGAGTAGTGTTTCTTCTGTGGCATTTCTCCCGGTGTTCCTGCCGATTTTTCCATTAGATCACTGTCTTTTTCTTATTTATCTGTGGATAGTTTCACAATTACAGGAATTAGACAATTTCAAAATACGTCACAAATATTTTCCCCGGGGTTTGCCTTTTGATTATAATTTTTAACACATTTAAAATGTGAATGTGGTCAAGCTTATCACTCTTTTTCTTCCGTGTCTCCAGGTTTATCGTGACAGACTATGAAAACATTCGTGGACTTTTCAAGACGTTTTTCTGGTTTCTTTTTTAGGTTTGGATGTTTGATCCATCTGGATTGCATTTCGGTGTTAAGGACGGAGGGAGCCAACTTCTATTTTTCCGAATGGCCGGTCAGTGGTACCAACGCCGCTGGACTGGAAAACCTTCCCGGGTTTGAAGCCCTTCACCCTCACCTTCCACCCGGCTCCGCGTCGCCAGGTACAGGAGGAACCCCGCCTGGCCCTGCCCACTGCGGTCGCCCACCCCCGTCGACCCCGCGGGTCCCGCCCCAAGCTACGCTTCCACATTCCATGGCTCCGCCCCAAGCCAGTTTCTGCCCTTTATAGCCCCGCCCCCACACCACTGGACCCGCCCCACGCCCCGCCTCCGAGCTCTCCAGCCCCGCCCCACCCAGCCCTGACCTTCCCTCTCCCCGGCCCCGCCCCTAGCCCTCCGCGCTTCTCGGCCCCGCCCCAACGCCGGCGCTCTTCCGGGTCGTCCCCGGGCGGCTCTAGGCGCTCCTTGAGTTATTTAAGTAAAAGGCGTGGCCTCTGGTGCTAATGGCATGGAGAAGGGGCGTCGCGCGCGCGGAACTCGTTGGGAGGCTGGGGGCCTACACAGCACTTCTTGGGGCCTAAGTTGCCTGCGGCTGGACCGGCTCGCACGAGACCGCCAGGTGCCGCTTCCCCTTCCAGCCAGCCTCCGCCGCCTTCCTTCCGACTTTCGCGTGCCTTCTTTCCGGCGCCCGCCCGCGGCCAGAGCCAGGATGCTTCCGAAGCGGCGGCGAGCGTGGGTCGGGTCCCCTGGCGGTCCTGCCCCCTCCACGGCGCGCTTCCCCGGCATTGCCATCTACCTGGCCGAGCCTCGCATGGGTCGCAGCCGCCGGGCCTTCCTCACGCGCCTGGCCCTCTCCAAGGGCTTCCGGGTCCTGGATGCCTACAGGTGCGCGGTCGTGGACGAGTTTGTGGCCCAGAGCAGTACCTGCCGAGGGCTCCTGCCCGGGACGCCTTGCGGGGCAGGGGGCTCCTGCCCGGGGCGCCTTCGGAAGCGCTGGCCCGGGTATTCCTCGGGGGCCCAGTTTCTGGAGGCTCCTGCTTTGGGATGCCTGGGGGATGGCACCTGCCCGGGGCGCCTTAGTGGGGGGCGTCGCAGGAGGAGCGCGGGGAGGGTTTGGCGCTTACAGCGGACAGAGTGTCGCCTGTGTGGGTATTGCCATACTGTCGCGCCCAGAGGACACTGCTGCGTGGTGTGAGGGCCTAAGCACAAATTGCTAGTGCTCAGAACTTTGCACGTGACCAGTCACTTTCACAAAAGGTGTTTCTTTACAGCTGAGGATATTGAGATCTAAAACGACTCACCTGCAGCTGACCCCCCAGGGCGGAGGGGCACCTGAGGTTTTTGGATTCCAAGTTAACCCTGGAACTTCATGCTCACGTGGCTTTTCTCTCAATATCCTCTTCTATGAAAGGGTGCTGTAGTTGGGGCCAGGAGTGTTCTGTAGGACAAGAAGAGAACGTCTGCCAGAGAGAGGCCTTGTAAAGAGCCATAGGGGTGCGTGGGGTTAAGGGTTTCAGTGGCTAACAGCCTTCTGCCCTAGGTGAGTTCATCTTGCCCCCTTAGCCAAAGTGACGTCGCTCCTCGGGGCTGAGAAAGTGACTTGAGGGAGGTCCAAGAGCAGCGATAATGACAGCCTGAGATTAAAGAACTGCGGTTCCCATAGGTTTGAAGTGGAAAAATCCAGTCCTCCTGCAGCTTTTTTTTTTTTAAGTGAATTAACCATTTTCAGTGGTTAGACCCACTCTGGAGGCGTGTTTAATGTACTGGATGCTAAGACCTTTTGCTTATTAGCTTGTCTAATCTTTGTAACAACCCTACCCAGTGGATATGTTGTTATCTTCTTTAAAGTGGAGGAAATCAGGGCACGGAAAAGGGATGTGCTCAGGGGCATGCAGCATGTATGTGGCAGAGCTGGGGTTCAAACCCCAGCAGTCTGGGTCCCAAGCACTTAGATGGAGACCCACTGGTCCTGCCCACTAGAGAAGAACTTTCTCAGGGGTCAGAGGAGACAGACAGACAGACAAGTGGACACGACCCTGGACTGGGCTTACAGTCACAGGTGGAGCAGACAGGCACGGCTCTGTGGGGTCCTGGAACGCCAGAGGGGTTCAAGTGCCAGAAGAGGTTCTCTGAGGACGTGACATTTGAGAAATGAGTGGGTGCGCACCAGGCAGAGGGGAGAGGGGCAAAGGCCAGGAGGTGTGGAGCGAAGCAGGAAGGACCTCTGGGCATCACCCGCTCCCCTCTCTCTGCCCAGCTCTGAGGTGACACATGTGGTGATGGAACAGACCTCAGCAGAGGAGGCCAGCACCTGGAAGGAGCACAGGGCGGTGGCAGGCTCTCCACAGGGCCGCACCAGCCCAGTGCTGCTGGACATAAGCTGGTTCACGGAAAGCATGGCAGCTGGGGAGCCCGTGCCTGTGGAGCCTCGGCACTGCCTGGAGGTGAGCTGGGGGGAGGGCCGCAGGGGCAGGCCTCGCCCGGCGGGTCAGGTGAAGTGTCATCACCGGCTGCCGTTAGACGAAATGGGCAGGAGGGCTCAGCGCAGGCCACCGGGGACCCTGGGAGGCCAGGCCATCCTGGCTTCTGCTGTCACCTGGCATAAGCTCTTGGGATCCACCTGTTTTTAGCACATTCAGGCCTTTCTTGATCAAGTAGTGAGATGGTACCTCCTCGCGAGACAGCAGGACGCTGTCCTCAGGTGCTGTGGGTCTGTGGCCTCTGTCTGCCTTGGTGCTTCCTGGTGAGCAGAGCTGGGGTGAGGGGATGGACTCAGAGCCAGGCTCTCCATGTTCGAGCCCCACGTCCCTGTCTATGAGATGGAGTGACCAGCACTCTGAGCCACGTGACAGAGAGGGCTGGGGAAGTGGAGCACAGGCTGCATGTGCAACGACAGGAAATGTCCTCCGTCCTCCGCCGGAGCTGCTACTCTGGCCTGAGGAGCCCTCCTCAGCCTGCTCTGCAGGGCAGGGCTGCTCTATGCCTTCTGTCCTGGGAGCCGGCCCCGCAAGCCCTGCAGCCTCCAAGTGGCCTCTGTATTGCCCATCTGTAGGTGGCCGTGCCCGGGAAAGGGCTGCCAGGCTCAGTATGGATGCCACAGTATGCCTGCCAGCGCCCCACACCCCTCACACACCACAACAGCAGCCTCACGGTGAGCCCCGGGCTCCCAGCCTCCCTGGGATGGGCCCAGGCCTGTTCCTGTGAGCACTGCCACTCTGCCCTGCCCCAGTCTGGGGACGGGTGGTGGAAGGGAGGGTGGGGTGGGGTACCCTTCCCCTCACCCAGGCCCCCTCCTCGCAGGAGCCTCTGGAGATGCTGGCGGAGGCGGCTGGCTTTGAGGGCAGTGAAGGCCGCTTCCTCTCCTTCTACAGAGCGGCCTCGGTGCTCAAGGCCCTTCCGAGCCGGGTCACAGCCATGAGCCAGCTGCAGGGGCTGCCCCACTTTGGAGAACATTCCTGCAGGGTCATCCAGGTAGGTGTTCACCACCCTTAGCAGGGTGGTTGAGGAGAGGAGGGAGTGGAGGTGGTTAGTGGTTGAGTCCAGCCGTGGAGATTTCCAGGCTGAGGCAGGTCACCCTCTGCTCAGATTCCTCATCTGTAAATTGGGGCCACACGATGTGGCTGAGAGGGACCAGACAGGACTGGTAGCTGGCACTGTTGGCATCGGCCCAGCTGTCCAGGACGGTAGAAGAGAACCCATGACTATAAGCACCACTTCTTAAAACACAAAGTATTTGGGGCACCTGGGGGGCTCAGTTGGTTAAGTGTCCGACTTTGGCTCAGGTCATGATCTCACGGTTCGTGGACTCAACGAACTCTGTGCTGACAGCCCAGAGCCTGGAGCCTGCTTCAGATTCTGTGTCTCCCTCTCTCTCTGCCCCTCCCCTGCTAACACGTTTTCTCCCTCTCTCTCTCAAAAATAAACATTAAAAAAAAATTTAAAACAACAACAACAAAGTAAGGACCCAAAATGTTAAAATGTCTTTTTGTACACTTATCACTGAGAGAATATATTGTGACAAAAAGACTTTTGATTTCAGTTAAACTTTTAAAGGAAGTCTCATTGAATGCACCGCCTGTGTTTTGAAAAGCAGTGTTTGGGGCACCTGGATGGCTAAGTCGGTTGAGCGTCTGACTCTTGGTTTCAGCTCAGGTCATGACCTCATGGTTTGTGGGTTTGAGCCCTATGGACAGTGCAGAGCCTGTTTGGGACCCTCTCTCTCTGACCCTCCTCTGCTCACACTGTCTCTCAAAATAAGTAAATAAACTTTAAAAAAAAGAGAAAAGCGATGGTTTCCCTGTCCTGGGACTTGTAACTCATTTGAGAGCTGGCCTGTCTCTGGGCCGAGGGGCTTTGAGGCCAGGAGATTTGGTGGCTCCCTGGGCACAGTCTCTCCTCCAAGTCCCCCTGCATCCTGACTGGATGAAACTGCCCTGTGCAGTGTGGGGGTTCCGCCTGCTGCCTGGGCCCCAGCTCTTATCTCCAGTCAGGCTGACTGTTCTGCTTTGTTCCCCAGGAAGTGCTGGCACAGGGAGTATGTGAGGAGGTGGAGAGAATCCGATGCTCAGAGAGGTACCAGACCATGAAGGTACGTGTGGGGCAGACCCTGGTGGGCACATGGAGCCTGTGGCCCTCCCTCAGGTGACAGCACAGCTCCAGCCATGGATGGGAGGTCAGCAGGGGCGCCCAGGGGTCAGAGAAGGTCTCACTGAGGAAGTGGCAGCTAAGTTGACACCTGATATGCACGAGGCAGCCAAACAAAGTGGAGCCTGGAGAAGCTTGTTTTTAGCACAGGGAATTTTCTAGATCACTCAGCACCATCTGCTCTGATTGGACCATCTGTGGGGTGTTCTCAAGCATGTTGTATGCTCTGGCATCTTAAACAGAGCAAACTGGACAAAATGTAACCACCTCCTGGGTGTCGCAGGGCCACTCACCCTTGCACGGTCTCCTCGTGTCCGCAGTGCATCTTCCACTGTTCCCATCTGACCTGCTGACACTTGTCGCATCAGCAACCTGTTGGGGGAGTGGGTCACGATGCTCCGGGAGGTGGCCCAGAATGTTGTGAGGGGCAGTGGGGGCTTCAGAAAGGGACCAGAGCCACATGTGACACATGGAAGGCCCCAGGTAGGCAGAGGACGGGAGTGTATGGGCCACATGGGAGTTAGTGGACGAGCACTGACGGAAGGCAGGGTCCTCACCTCTCCCTGGGCACCCAGAGGTCACCCAGGTCAGCAGAGAGATGGGTTAACGATTAGAAGTTTGTAGTCATAAAGCAATAGGTTAGGTTGTTCTGAGCATTTTTTTCTGGCAGGACCCAGCTGGTGCTCTTGGTTCAGGGGATCAAGGGAAGAGTGGGCAGCATAGCCCAAGAAGGGCAGGGCTGCAGCCGTCCTGCAGGAAGCAGGGCCCAAGGATCCACTTGCTGCTGGGTACTTCCCCTATTCTGCACGCTGGCTGCTCTGCTGGTTGAGACCTGGCCGCAGAAGGTTCCCTTTCCATGGGTTACAGCCTCCACCACTGCCCAGGCCGGACCTTCTGTTTCAGTTCCAGAAATCCCCAGGGAGGGGATTGGCTGGCACAGGGCAGGTGCCCACCTCTGACCGACAAGCTGTGGTTGGGGAGGAAAGAGGTGATGGGCTGGGGCTGGGGTCCGGGCCGCCCTGTGTGGGAGCCCCGTGTGGCAGGCAGTCCCCGGCAGGAGGTGGGCTCCCGTGTCTATCTTCCAGCCCCAGGCTTGCATTTCCTCCAGCTCCTGCTACAACGACCCTCTGGTTGTTAACTGCCTGTTGTTTTGGTGTTTGCTGAGGAGCAGAACGAGGGGCACGAGGCTCCGATTGCTCTTAGGTGGGAGCGGCCAGTGGATGAGAGCTGTGAGCTGTCTGTGTGGGATGCTGGAATCACAGGCTGGAGCTGCGGGTTCTAGGGAGACCGAGGCCCTCTGGGGGAGGTACACACGGGGTCTCTTTGTGTTGTGCACCGTGAGGCTGGGCTGCATAGCCAGGCTCGGGGATTGGATCCTGTCTGTACTGTCACTGTGTGGCCTCGGGCAGCTTGCTCACACTTGAGAACTGTGAGTAGGGACGGCACCTGCCAGGCCACGGGGTGGGGCTCAGTGAGGCCCTAGTGAGATGCTGTGGCGGTGCTGGCCTGGGACAGCACCCCCTTCACAGACCGCTGCTGCTGTCTGCATCTTCTGAAAGGGCTCTGCTCTTGACCATGCTGCGCTCATGCCCCAAACAGCTTTTCACCGGGATCTTCGGGGTTGGGGTAAAGACTGCTGACCGGTGGTACCGAGAAGGGCTGCGGACCCTCGACAGCCTCCAAGAGCAGCCCCAGAGGCTGACCCAGCAGCAGAAAGCAGGTGAGCCCTGTGAGAAAGGACAGGACCCTGGGCTCCCACACCATGGCACCCTCAGCATGGACACAGGGCATGTGCGGATGGCTGCCTGGATGGCAGGTAATGGGATCAGTGCAAAGGGCCCTGGTGGCAGGCAGGCCTCTCTGGTGGCCTCCCTGGTCTCCACCCAGTGGAATCTGGATCCACTGTAGCCCTTTTGCAGTGAACAGTGATGGTCACAGTAGCTGCTGTGACATTGAGGCCTCCTAGTGGAACTCAGATCTGGACCAGGCCCCTTACCACTTCTTACTGCTTCTCTTTTTTTTTTTTTTTAATTTAAATCCAAGTTGGTTAATATATAGTGTAATAATGATTTCAGGAATAGAATGTAGTGATTAATCACTTACTTATAACACCCAGTGCTCTTCCCTATAGGCGCCCTCTCCTTAATGACCATCCCCTTCTAGCCCATCTACCACCTCCCCTCCAGCAACTCTCAGTTTTTTCTCTGTTTAAAAGTCTCTTACTATTTGTCTCCTTCTGTTTTTATCTTACTTTCCCTTCCCTTCTCCTATGTTTATCTGTTGTGTTTCTCAAATTCAACCTGTGAGTGAAATTGTGATATTTGTCTTTTTCTGACTTATTTCATTTAGCAAAATACACTCTAGTTCCATCCATGTTGTTGTAAATGGTAAGATCTCATTCTTTTTGATAGCTGAGTAATACTCCATCATATATATAAATCACATCTTCTTTATCCATTCATCCATCATTGGACATTTGGGCTCTTTCCATACTTTGGCTATTGTTAAAAGTGCTGCTATAAACACTGGGGTGCGTGTCCCCCTTCGAAACAGCATTTTTGTATCTTTTGAATAAATTCCTAGTAGTGCACTTGCTGGGTTGTAGAGTAGTTTATTTTTAATTATTTGGGGAACCTCCAAACTGTTTTCCAGAGTGGCTGCACCAGTTTGCATTCCCACCAACAATGCAAAAGAAATCCTCTTTCTCTGCATCTTTTGTTGCCTGAGTTGTTAATGTTAGCCATTCTGACAGGTGTGAGGTGGTATCTCATTGTGGTTTTGATTTGTATTTCCTTGATGATGAGTGACGTTGAGCATCTTTTCATGTGTCTGTTGGCCATCTGGATGTCTTCTTTGGAAAAGTGTCTATTCATGTCTTTTGCCCATTTCTTCACTGGATTATTTGTTTTTTGGGTGTTGAATTTGATAAGTTCTTTATAGATTTTTGGATCCTAACCCTTTATCTGGTATGTCATTTGCAAATATCTTCTCATATTCAATTGATTGCCTTTTAGTTTTGCTGACTGTTTCCTTCGCTGTGCAGAAGGTTTTTATCTTGATGAGGTCCCAATAGTTCATTTTTGCTTTTGTTTCCCTTGCCTCCGGAGACGTGTTGAATAAGAAGTTGCTGCAGCCAAGGTTAAAGAGGTTGCTGCCTGTTTTCTCCTGTAGGAATTTAATGGTTTTCTTTCTCACATTTATTCACCCATTTTGAGTTTATTTTTGTGTATGGTGTAAGAAAGTGGTCCAGCTTCATTCTTCTGCATGTTGCTGTCCAGTCTTCCCAACACCTTTTGCTGAAGAGACTGTTTTTCCATTGGGTATTCTTTCCTGCTTCATTGAAGATGAGTTGACCATAGAGTGTGTCCATTTCTGGGTTCTCTATTCTGTTCCATTGATCTGAGTGTCTGTTTTTGTGGCAGTACCATACTGTCTTAATGACTACAGCTTTGTAATACAGCTCCGAGTCCGAGATTGTGATGCCTCCAGCTTTGGTTTTCTTTTTCAAAATTACTTTGGCTATTCAGGGTCTTTCTGGTTACATACAAATTTTAGGAATGTTTGTTCTAGCTGTGTGAAGAATGCTGGTGTTATTTTGATGGGGATTGCAGACCCCTTACTTCTGATTCCAGGAAAGGGAGGCTGTGTCTGTGCCCTGTGCACACCTTGCTAGCATGGGGCTGGTGCCCTGGCCCACTAGGTGATGGTATGGGGACTTGTGTGGCAGGAGAGGCTCAGTACAGGGCTTGCATGGGAGGTGGCACCATGTGGTGGAATGAACATGAACTTGAGAGTTTGTCAGGCTTGGGTTTGAGTCCTGTCTCTGCAGCTTACTAGGTAGGTGACCATGGCCCTGAGACTTAACTTCTCTGAGCCTTGGTGACATTCTCCACAAATCATGGGGCTCTGTGAGCTCCTCTTTGTGAGGCCAGTGGGGAGTAGGTGTTAATCAGTGTCTCTGTCCTCTCCATGTGGCCCGGGGTGGGGGCCCCATTTGAGTTGTTCCGCAGCCCAGCACCCACCACTTCTTTGAACATCTTCCCTCGGGCTGGGGGTCATGGGAGGGTTGCCTGGATGGTCCACAGGAGGTGAGACCCATGGAGTCACGTGTCCAGTGGAACATTAAGTGATATCATCATTGACTGCACCCAGTCCCCTCTCCCCATGGTGCCGGAGAGATGGAGCCGCCAGCAGCACTTAGTCTGTGCGGCCACATGCTGTTACTCCCCACTTAGATTTCTTATTGTGTGGAAAGTCCAGTGACACTCCCATGGTGGGGGCAGGGAGATAGGGCTACAGTGAGGGGTTCCTGAGTGGCAGAGCCACCTTCTTCAAGTGTTTATCGCTTTCCGGGCCATTTTATGGATGGGAAAACCAAGGCATTCAAAGAGGTAGACTGCGTCGTGAGTGCACTTACATCAGCCTCCTGATGGGATGGAGAAAATTCTGCAAGACGCTCCCATTGGGGAGAACTGGGCAGGGGGCTCAGGGGCTTCTGCCATTTCTTCCAACTACATGTGAATCTGCAGTTTCCTCTGAATAAAAGTTTACTATTTAAAAGAGAGGAGGGGACAGTGGAGAGCAAGACAGTGGGGCTGAGAAGGTCAGGAGAGCCGCACTGCCCACAGGACTCCGGCACTACCAGGACCTGAGTGTGCCGCTCCAGCGACCCCAAGTAGAGGCCCTGCAGCGGGTGGTGGAAGCAGCTGTGGGGCACATCCTTCCCGGGGCCACCGTCACGCTGGCCGGGGGCTTTCGGAGGTAAGGGGGTCTGGCCTGCCCCTCCCACCCCAGTGAAGGCGCCTGAGGGGGGGGCCACAGAGGTGGGCCTTCCCGCACTAGTGGGACCGGGGACAACGGGAGGCCCACGTATCCTGTGTTGGCCCGAACTCAGAGCAGGCCCCCTCAGGGGCAAGTTGCAGGGCCACGACGTGGATTTCCTCCTCACCCACCCCCAGGAGGGCCGGGAGGCAGGGCTGCTGTCCAGAGTGATGCACAGCCTGCAGAGTCAGGTGAGGAGCTGCCTGCTGCCTACCCTGGGGGCTCTGCCGGGACCCGGGCCCCCCACCCCGCCCGGCACCGCGGACCCCGCCATACCTGCTCCTCCCCCAGGGCCTTGTCCTGTACCACCAGCACCACCACGGCCACTGTGCAGATGCCGCCTGCCCGCCCCGGCAGAACCATGCCATGGATGGCTTTGAGAGAACCTTCTGTATCTTCTGCCTGCCTTCACCCCCAGGGGCTGCTGTGGGGGGCGCCCGGAGGGCCGTGCGGGTAGACCTGGTGGTGGTCCCTGTCAGCCAGTTCCCCTACGCCCTGCTGGGCTGGACCGGCTCGAAGGTACGGGGCTTGCTACTGGGGCTGGGCGGGGCCTCCCGTCAGAGGCCCCCATACAGCCTCGCTTTCTGCAGCATTTCCAGCGGGAGCTGCGCCGCTTCAGCCGGAAGGAGAGAGGGTTGTGGCTGAACAGCCATGGGCTGTTTGACCCCCAGCAGGTGTGTTGCTGGGAGGGAACGGCCTGGCCCCGCCCCTGGCCGCCCCCCCCCCCCACCCCCCCCCCCCACCCCCCCGGCACTAAGGCTCCGGCTTCTGTTGCAGAAGAAACATTTCCATGCGGCTTCGGAGGAAGACATCTTCAGACACCTGGGCCTGGAGTACCTTCCCCCAGAGCAGAGAAATGCCTGACCCAGCCGCTGGCCCAGTCTGCTCTCTGGAGAGGCAGGCCCTGTGGATGCCCTCGGCCGCTGGAAGTCTCCAGGGCAAAGATGCACTGTGGCCCCAGGTCCTCACCCCACACCCAGGCCCGGATATAATGAAATGAGCACACGTAACAAACCAAGCTCTGTTTTTCTGTGCTGCTGGCTGCCCAGGGGGCGTGGTGCTGATTCTGTGCAGAGGCCCATCCTGCTGGGTGTTGGTCGGGGGCAGGGCTGTGTGACCCTGGGTCAGTGAGGACCTGAAGGCACCTTCTCTGTGGGCTGGTTGTGGAACTTGAGGTGGCGGATGGCAAGTGCTTTGTGCGGTGGGGGTGGGGGGTTGTCCACCTGCTGTGTGGCCAGCCACTGGGGAGGACAGGGCCCAGAGGTAGGAGCTGGGGGCAGGGGGAGAATTTCCAGGGCCCGTCTACCACCTTCCAGCCAGGCTTCCTGTCTCTGCCTCTGCTCTTCTAAGGTCTGTTCTCAGAAGGCCTTTGTCAGCAGGTCCTGTCGCACCCCTCGTTGCTCCAGGCACACACTCGTGCTCAGCGATTCCAAAGCCTCACAGTGGCCCCCAGAGCCCTGGCCACCCCTGACCACTGGCCTCATCTGTTCTCCCACTGCTTTGAGCCAGGTGCCTTCCTGCCCCGGTGCCCATGTGAACTGCCCCAGACACCCACGAGGCCAGGCCAGGTCTCAGCCTTTCCTGGAGGGGCCTTGGCCATGCAGTGTTCTCTGCTCCTCAAATCCCCAGGCCTGCTCCGGCCTCAGTGCCTTTGCCACAGGACCGTCCACTAGAAGGCCTCTCCTGACTCAGGTCTCTGTCTGTTGAGGACTTTCCTGACCACTCGCTGCGTTAAGAATTACTTTTTTAAATAACATGCAGACAAATTGATTCTTTTTGGTGTCCCTGTGTACACCCATTCCCCTCCACCATGCGAGCCCTAGAAATAAAACAGCCAGTTATTGTGCCAGCAAAACAGGTTTGTTTACTTGGGAATGACTGAGGGACAGTAATCTAGGACAAGTAACCTGATAAAACCAAAAGATGGGAACAGGAGGAACAGCCTTCCCTTTGGGAAGGGCTGTCATGTATGAAAGTCCGATGGAGATTCGGAGTTCGGGGTGGTGGTTTCTCACGGGCTGGGCTGGTGCCAGGACAAGGACCCTCCTCCTGTGGGCAGCAGGACAGGCTTCCCTGCCTTCCCTTCCTCTGTGCTGTCAGCACAGAGCCTGACCCAGGGCTCAAACTCACAACCCAGGGATCATGACCTGAGCCAAAATCAAGAGTCAGACAGGGGCGCCTGGGTGGCTCAGTTGGTTAAACATCCAACTCAGTTTTGGCTCAGGTCATGATCTTGTGGTTTGTGAGTTCGAGACCTGCATTGGGCTCTGTGCTGAAGGTGCCGAGCCTGCTTGGGATTTTCTCCCTCCCTCTCTCTGCTCCTCTCTCACTCTGTCTGTCTCAAAAATTCTCCCTCTCTCTGCTCCTCTCCCACTCTCTCTCTCAAAAAAAAAAAAAAAAAGGTCGGACACTTAACTGAACCACCTAGGCACCCCTAATTTTCATTTTAAGTAAGCTCCGTGCCCAGTGTGGGGCTTGAACTCACAACCCTGAGATCAAGAGTTGCACACTTGGGGCACCTGGGTGGCTCAGTCAGTTAAGTGTCCAACTTTGGTTCAGGTCATGATCTTGTGGTTTGTGGTTTTGAGCCCCGCGTTGGGCTCTGTGCTAACAGTTCAGAGCCTGGAGCCTGCTTTGGGTTCTGTGTCTCCCCTCTCGGCCCCTCCCATGCTCATGCTCTGTCTCTTAAATAATAAATAAAACGTTAAAAAAAAAAAAAAGTTGCATGCTCTACTGACTGAGCCAGCAGGGAACCCTTATCTTTTGTCTTTTCGATAATAGCCATTTTAACAAGTGTGAGATGATACCTCGTTGTTTTGATTTGAATTTCCCTGATGATTGGTGAGTTAGAGCATCTTTCCATGTGTCTGTTGGTCATTTGTGTGTCTTCTCTGGGAAAATGTCTATTTGGTTCTTCTGTCCATTTTTTATTAAACATTTTTTTAACATTTATTCATTTTCTGAGAGAGACAGAGTGTGTGGGGGGGGAGGGGCAGAGAGAGAGAGGGAGACACAGAATCCGAAGCAGGCTTCAGGCTCTGAGCTGTCAGCACAGAGCCCAACGCGGGGCTCGAACTCCTGGACTGTGAGATCATGACCTGAGCCGAAGTCGGACACTTAACCGACTGAGCCACCCAGGTGCCTCTGTCCATTTTTTAATCAAATTGTTTGGCTTTTGCCATTGAATATATGAGTTCTTTATATAACTTCTATATTAACCCCTTGTCAGATACAGGATTTGCAAATATTTCCTCCCATTTCATAGGTTGGTTGCCTTTCCATTTTGTTGGCTGCTTCCTTTGCTGTGCAGAAGAATTTCAGTGTGATGTCCCACTTACTTATTTTTGCTTTTGTTACATTTTGATTTGACATCCAAAAAATCATTGCTAAGATATCCTTCCCTGAAGTCAGAACCGAGGTTTGCTTCCAGATACACGTGATGGTAGCACCTTACAACTTCTAGGCCCTTGACTATGATATATCCTTGGCATTTCCCAGGCCCACGCTGATCAGACCCCAAGTTCAGGTCTAAAATAGTGATATAGAAGGCTCCTGAACTCACTTTCTTCTCTGGATACACCAAATCTGCAACACAGAAGCAATTTCCTCTAAAAAGAAATCCAGAAACTAGCTGAACAATTCCTACCTACTGGACAAAATGAGAATATCCACATCAAGATGGGTCACCAGTGTCTCCCTGGAAGGAGCTCATGCACATATCTGGTGCATCCAGAGGACATACCCCTTGATCACCTGGTTCTGGTGGCCGGTGGGGTTTGCATTTGCAGGGCCCCACAGACCTGTTCAAAGAAACCATTCTTAACCAGCTATCCTTCCAGGGTTCAGCACAGAGTACGCAGACCGAAATCCTATCTCCCAGGCCTTCCACAAAAGAGGCCTGTTTGTCTATGAAAGCTGCAGCCTGGGGGTCAGGCTTCTAATTTAGCACACATCTATGGCTGAGCCTCCCCTCTGGGACACTGACAGGCCTTGGCACACTTTCAACCACTGGAACAACTATGAACAAAGAAGGTGCTTGGGCAATCACGAAAGTTTGAGAGAATCGAGAGCTTGGGCTGGGCTGAAGGATAAGGTCCATCCCCTTCATAGACCCCCCATCAAACCTTGGAGAGGTGGCTGTTTTGTCTAATACACAGAAATCAACACAGAGTCAAGGAAAAGGAACAGAGGAATATGTTCCGAACCAAAGAACAAGATAAAACTCCAGAAATAGACCTTCATGATACGGAGATTAGTGACTTAGCTGATAAAAAGTTCAAAATAATGGTCATAAAGATGCCCACTGAGCTCAGGAGAATAATGCATGAACAAATGAGAATTTCAACAAAGACATGAAAATTATAAGAAAATACCCAACAAACCACAGAGCTGAAGAATACAGTAACGGAACTGAGATTCAACAGAGGGGTTCGGCAACAGACTATATAAAGCTGACTCAGATGAATCACTGGATTCTACTCCTGAAACCAATATTGCATTGTATGTTAACTATCTAGAATTTAAATTAAAAAAAAAATTAAAGCTGACTTGGGCGTGCCTGGGTGGTTCGCAGTCAGTTGAGCATCTGACTCTTGATTTCAGCTCAGGGTTGTGTGATTGAATCCCATGACGGGTTCTGCACTGAGTGTGGAGACTGCTTAGGATTCTCTCTCTCTCTCTGTCCCCTCCCCAGCTTGTGCACTCTCTCTCTCACTCAAGAAAAAAACAAAAACTTACTTGAAGACAGTACAATGGGATTCATCCAATTAGAGGAGCTAAAAGAAAGAAACGAAAAAGAAGATAGCTTAAGGGGCTTATGGGACACTACTCAAGTAGGCCAAAACGTACATTATGGGGTCCCAGAAGGAGAAGAGAGAAAGAAGGCTTATTGGAGAAATGGCTGAAAACTTCACTAACCTGGGAAAGAACTATCCCGATCCAGGAAGCCCATAGAGTTCCCAATAAGATGAATTCAAGGAAACCCACACCAAGACACATTTTAATTAAGCTGTCACAATTTAAAGACAATGAGAGAATATTAAAAGCAGTAAGAGAAAAATTACTGGTTACATAGAAGGGAACCCCCACCTCCCATAAGACCATCAGATTTCTCAGCAGAAACTTTTCAGGCCATAAGGGAATGTCATGGTATTTTCAAAGTGCTGAAAGAAACAAAACAAAAAAACCCCAAAAAAGCCCTTCTGGTCAAGAATACCATACCTGGCAAAGTCATCCTTCAGAATTGAAGGAGAGATCAAGAATTTTCCAGAAAAGCTTGAAGGAGTTCATCACCATTAGATCAACCTTACAAGAAATATTAAAGGGACTTCAAGCTGAAACAGAAGATGTTAATTAGTAACAGGAAAACATATGCAAGTATAATTATCACTGGTAAAGGTTAACACCTAGTTAAGTTCAGAATACTCTGATATTGTAATGGCGATGAGTAAATCACTTACCAATCTATAATTCACTTATAATAAAGGTTAAAAGACAAAGGTATTTATAGTAATTTGTTAATGGATATAACATGTAAGGAGATGTAAATTGTGATATCAAAACCAAAATGGGGGGGGGAGTAAAAATATAGAACTTTAGTATGTGTTCAAAGCTAAGGTATTATCAACCTAAAATACACTGTTAAAACTATGTAACCCTCATGGTAACCACAAAGTCAAACTCTAGTAGATACACAAAAGATTAAGCATATCACTGCAGCAAATTATCAAATCACAGAGCGAAAGAGGAAGAAAGGAATGAAGGAATTACAAGCCAACCAGAAACAATGAAGAAAATAGCAATAGTAAGACTGAAAGTAATTATTTAACAAAAATTTTTAACGTTTATTTTTGAGAGAGACAGAGTGTGAACGGAGGAGGGGCAGAGAGAGAGGGAGACAGAATCTGAAGCAGGCTCCAGGCTCCCAGCTGTCAGCACAGAGCCCGATGCAGGGTTTGAACTCACAGACTGTGAGATCATGACCTGTGCCGAAGCTGGACGCCCAACTGACTGAGCCACCCAGGCACCCCAATATAAGTAATTAAATGTAAATGGACTAAATTCTCCAATGAAAAGATATAGAGCAGCTGAATGGATTATAAAAAAGACCAACTATAAGCTGCCTTTAAGTTTTAAGGAAGCAGACTGAAAATGAAGAGATGGAAAAAGATATTTCATGCAAACGAAAACCAAACGAAAACAGGGGTATATTAGACAAAATAGACTTTAGACCAAAGACAGTAAGAAGAGACAAAGAAGGTCATAATATAATGATAAAGGGGTCAATCCAACAAGAGGATAAAATAAAAATTTAAAATTACTGTTGTACGCAACATAGGAGCACCTAAATATATAAAGCAAACAGTAACAGACCTGATGAGAGAAATAGACAGGAATACAGTAACAGCAAACTTCAAGACCCCGTTTTCAGTAATGGACAGAAAATAAGAAGACTTAACTATGCATTAGACCAGATGGACCTGACAGACATCTACACAATAGTTCATCCAGCAGCAGAATACACATGGGGCATTCTCCAGGATAGAGAATATCCACAAAACAGGCCTTAATAAATTCAAGAAGATTGAAGTCCTATCAAACATCTTTTCTGATCATAATGATATGAAACTAGAAATCAATTACAAGAAGAAACTTGGAAAGTTCACAACATGTAGAGATTAAACAACACACTTCTAAACAACCAGTGGTCAAAAAAGAAAAAGACAAAATATATCTTGAAACAAATAAAATGGAAATATAACATACCAAAACCTATCAGATGCAGTAAAAGCAGTTAAAAAATTTTTTTTAAACATTTATTTATTTTTGAGACAGGGAGAGACAGAGCATGAACGG